GTTGTCTTTCACATGCTGTATTAAAATCTTCTGTGGCAAATAAACAGCGGCAGTATCGTGAGTCGTACAGTCCGACAAAACGACTAAACTCCGATGTTGGATTTCATTTTTTTCGCGATAGTAGTAAACAACGGGGTGAACTGTACACTGGTCATTATTGTAGTAGAAGGATTGAGCAGCATCTTGAGCCACAAAAGCAAATTTTCCGAAAAATCACAGTATACTAGTACTCCATTATCCAAATTCTCTTTTCGCTGTTTGACAAAAGCCGAACGTTCTTTAGCGATGAAGTGATGGGGCTTCAATACTATCAATCGTTCCATTAAAAGATCAGTGAATTCATCCATCGGGAGGGTCTGTGTCTGCAAGGTACACCTGTCAGTACTTTGCCACACGCAAAATTCGACCATTTCCACGACAGAATCAGAGAGAAGTTACTTCAGTTCACATGATAATGATTTCAATCCAGGACAATCGTTACATTCATCCAGATAACAGGCCGGGGTTGGATTTGTACACATCAATTTTGCTAGATAATCTTTGTAATCTCTGAGTGGACAGGGGAATCTTGAGTTAGAGTCGCAATATTAATTGCCTCCAGCATCAATTTGCAATTTTGATGATACGTACAAACACATACCACGTGAGTGCCATTTGCTCCCGTCACTACACATTGTTTAGGTCTCAGCTTGGCAAACTTACTGAAACCGGCCTTAGCATCTTCATTCGCATGTTTGTGCTTCCGATAAACGACTTTTAGATTTTCGAGTATCATTCGCTTTTGCTCTACTTTCTTCTCTCCATTGATCTTGATGGATATTTTATCTTTCATTCCTGGCATCACGCGACTGTGCTCTAGGTAAAAATTGTGTACCTTCTCGACGGTTGTGCTGGTTAGTAAATGACCTGCTTTCGCAATTGGTGAAGCAAACACTCCTTTAATTTTTTTCAATCTTTTCGCTCTTGACGTCATGTATCTGGTAGTTCCAAATTCAGAAGCAATTTTCCACGCACTCCACGACTGTGGATGAACCATCAAGATTTGCAGGTGCTCACGGTAGGTTTTCAGATCTTCGAATTTCTGCTTCAAACCATCCAACATTTCTTCTAATACTATTTCTCTCGCAGATCGATACTGCTTAGATGAAGATGGATCAATGTCACTTTGGTCATCTTCCGAATCATAATCCATGGAAGAACTGTCGAATTCAGCTTCATCGTCTGGTTCGTCATCGATTGATATGCCGGAATCATCAAGATGGAAAGATCGACCTGATCTCAGAGAACTGTTCATCACATCCAGACTTAGGTCACATGTTTCGGCTTGGAGCATTGATATATCGGGTGGAGTTTCCGAACGCTGAAGTTGTGTAGCATTAAGTTTAACCGTGGGAACAGATGGAGAAATGACATAAGTTGGAGCTCTCGTTCACCATTGACCACAGATTTTCGCAGACAATGGTAAAAAAGGAAATTTCTCATGTAATGTCAAGGAAATCGGACGTAGATTATAACCGAGGTGTCCCTTCTCACCAGGAGCTCGCATTGGATTTGCACATCTATCACTCCGCGGCATTCTATGAAATCCGAAGATATCAATTCCGAGAATAAAGATCATTTCTATATAATCAACGTGAAAATTCCTTACCTCGTTGCAAGAATAGAANATTCCGCGAATAAAGATCATTTCTATATAATCAACGTGAAAATTCCTTACCTCGTTACAAGAATAGAATAAGATACGAGCTCGGTAATTCATCCACACAGAATCGTATGGTGATAAAAAATCAATCGAGAAATTGAGGTTTTTTTCTAGAATTAATGCCTTGGAACCGACTGATGATGATAAATCAATTAATTGATTCCGTTTGTTTCTTCCTCTCATTTGTTTGATCATAATTTAGCAAACTTCCGATAATGATAATGTTCAATTCAACTATCTACCCTTCCAGTAAAAATTTCGACGAAAAATTTGTTTTTCGGCGCACTCTTTCTCCGTTACATGATGGTGTAGTCTTATGTCATCACATATGAACGAAGAATAATGGTTGACAGACTCATTTATTTGAAAAAAACCGATGGATCTCCCCTAAAAACTGAAAAACCCAAAAATTTCGTAAAAAAAAAAATTTCCAGTGCATTGCTTCGCTCTTCCATTATGGCGTATTTTTTTCATATCATATAAGGATATTCTCTACCATAAAAAAAATATTTCGATCGAATATCGAGCAGTCCTAGAGTGAAAAAAACAATGAAAACGCGAAAAATTCTCGAAAAACTGGTTTACGAGCTTCTTGACGGCTCTAAAGTATTTTTTATCTTGAAGTACGAGAAAAATTGAAAATTATCTTTTTTTATTTATCAAAATCGGATGGTCTATTCAGAAGTAATGATTTTTTGAAAATTTCAAGTTTCATAATGATTATCTCAGAAACAANCGTGTCGTTTCGACTGGAGGGTGGAATAGAATGATATTTATGCATTTTTAGAATATCGATTTAAAATTTGAATACTTTGGAAAATCCTTGTCTTCTTACTATAAAAAAANTTCTTGACGGCTCTAAAGTATTTTTTATCTTGAAGTACGAGAAAAATTGAAAATTATCTTTTTTTATTTATCAAAATCGGATGGTCTATTCAGAAGTAATGATTTTTTGNTCATGTATCTGGTAGTTCCAAATTCAGAAGCAATTTTCCACGCACTCCACGACTGTGGATGAACCATCAAGATTTGCAGGTGCTCACGGTAGGTTTTCAGATCTTCGAATTTCTGCTTCAAACCATCCAACATTTCTTCTAATACTATTTCTCTCGCAGATCGATACTGCTTAGATGAAGATGGATCAATGTCACTTTGGTCATCTTCCGAATCATAATCCATGGAAGAACTGTCGAATTCAGCTTCATTGTCTGGTCCGTTGTCGATTGATATGCCGGAATCATCAAAATAGAAAGATCGACCTGATCTCAGAGAACTGTTCATCACATCCAGACTTGGGTCGCATGTTTCGGCTTGGAGCATTGATATATCGGGTGGAGTTTCCGAACGCTGAAGATATGTAGCATTAAGTTTAACCGTGGGGACAGGTGGATGAAAGACATAAGTTGGAGCTCTCGTTCGGCATTGACCACAGATTTTTGCAGACAATGGTAAAAAAGCAAATTTCTCATGTAGTGTCAAGGAAATCGGACGTAAATTATAACCGAGGTGTC